TTTTATTTGAGACTCACTTTTGTTGTCTCATCAGTGTTGAAAAGGCATTGTTTTAAAAGTTATGTCTTACTAACTCTAATAGTTGAATTCTAATTTCCTTTTCAATGCAAACATTGAAAATGATGTTTTAAATTTTCAGTGGCTAGGAACTTTTTTAAACTAACTTTTTCTTGTTAGTTTGTTGTTTTATTGATAGTGCTCAGTTATCTTATATTGCCTACAGTTTTAAAAAATTTGTTGAGATTATATTGTCCAATATATGGCTGAAGTTCCATTGAAGTAGTATTTTTAATATGACATTTTATACAGATTCATTAGCTTAATGTTATCAATTGTTCTTCAAGTCTTCTACCTCATTATTTTTCATTTACTTGATATGCAAACATCTATGGTAAGGGATTCTACCACAGCTGAGTAATTGACAGTTTAGTCATGTATACAATCAGTTACTTAATTATATACTTATAAACTATGTTTTTAGTACAGAAATGTTCATAGCAATGGTGGTAAATTTACACCTTGATGAATTATAATCTAATCAATATGAAATATATATATTTATCTTCTTTAATTTTTTATACTTGAATTTCATTTATACTAGATATTAATACTGCCATACCATCTTTCTCTTTGTTACTATTTTTCTTACATATTTTTTTATTTTCAACGTTTATCTGTACTTTTTTTTCGCTTTATATGTGTTGCATGCAAGCAACTTAGAGTTGGTTTTATTTTGTTTTTAACCTAATCTTGTTTTTAATTGGGAAGTTTATTTATATTTATTGTGATCATGGATACATTTGCATTTGTTCGTTTTCTTTTTTATTTTAATTCCTCTTCCTGGTTAGGTTCACCTTGTGCATTTTCTTTTAACCTTTACTGATTTGGGGAATGCACATTCTACTTTTTCTTTTTTTTTTTTTTTTTTTCTTTTTTTTGAGATGGAGTCTTTCTGTGTCTCTCAGGCTGGAGTACGATGGCTTGATCTCGGCTCACCGCAACCTCCGTCTCCTGGGTTCAAGCAATTCTCCTGCCTCAGCTTCCCGAGTAGCTGGATTGCAGGCATCCTCCACCATGCCTGGCTAATTTTTTTGTATTTTTAGTAGAGATGGGATTTCACCATGTTAGCCACCATGGTCTCGATTTCCTGACCTCGTGATCCATCCGCCTCAGCCTCCCAAAGTGCTGGGATTACAGGCCTGAGCCACCACTCCAGGCCCTTGCGCATTCTACTTTTTCTTATGATTTTCCTTAATTTTAACAATCACACTTAAGCTTAAGATGTTTGTCAAACTCAAGAGTTAATGATTATCTGTATCTTCCTCATTTAAAATATAAGCAGCTTAGGTCTTCCTTGATCACTTCTCCCATCCATATTTATACATTCTGTATTTTTTTATAATTCTTTGTCTTGTATTCATATTAGTTTTTCTGTATTCTATACACACATAATTCTTCCAGACAGAGGTGGTGTGTTGGTACTAAAATTTCTAAGTTTTTGCATGTCCTTAACTGTAATGAAGCTGTCCTTATTTTGGCCTCCTATTGAATAATTGTTTAAATAAATACAAAATTCTTTCAAAGTCGTTTTATCTCAGAAATTGGAAGATTTTGATGTTACTTTTTAATATCAGTTTTGCAGATAAAGTGTCATATCAATCTGTTTCTAATTCATTTCTTTGTAAGTTATTTAATTTTCTCTCTAAAATCTTTTAGAATTTTTATCTTCTTAGTGTTCTGATATATCACCAGTATGCAACTCAATAAAGATCTTCTATTGTTTACCTTGTTCAGTACTGTAAAATAATTATCTGGAAATATCATTTCAATCTAGTAATTATGCTTCTTTGGCTTTGGGAAATTTTATTCCATTATATTAGTAGTATTATTTATTTCTGCATATCTCAGGCATCTTTTCATGGCAAGTGGTAGGAAAACACAACTAAAATGACTTGACGAAAAGATAAATTAATTGATCCCAGTATTAAAATGGCCTATGTTGGTACTTATTTAAGACACAACTTTATCCAGAGTCTCACTCTCATTAAAGCGGATTTTCTCTTTCTTTTAATTTTTTTTATAGGAAGAAATTTTACGACATGTTTGAAGACTCACCTCTCTATCTATGGCAGTCTCAGGCTGAAATCTGCCAAGTTTATGTCCAGTGGTATGATCACTGAATTTTCTACCAGCTCTATAAAATTCTATGTATATTACTGGCTGTACTTGGGTTATGAATTCAATTTCTTAGCTAGTCACCATAGCCAGAAAAACAATAATCTGATTATCCAGACCTAAGATTCATACCCTGTGTTGAAATCAGGCATGGAGCCAGCTGTACCCAAATTGAATTTGAGTAAACTCAAAATGGATTGAGAATGGTACAAGAATAGTTTCCATTTCCCTGAGAGAAACTGAAGTATGCCATTGGCAAAAAAAAGGAGGAATTGATGTTGAGTGTCTATTTCTAGCTGAACATATAGATGCTCCTATACTTTCCATTTTCTCTGTTTGATTTTTCTTAGTGCATATTAAAATTTCTTAATCCATTTTCCTTGCATCTTAAGCTTATCATTAACATTTTTTTCTTTGTCCTTTTATATTGTATTATGGGAATATTCTTTGAATTGATCTTTCAGCCCACTGTTGTGTTTTTCAGTTATATGGATCTATCAAGTGTGTGTGTGTGTGTGTGTATATATACATATATATATATATTTCATAAAGAAAGCTTTATTTCAAAGTCTCTAATTGAGTCTCTGTCAATGTAACATATTCTCACATTTTAAATTATATTTTATTCTAAAGCCCTGCTTTGCTTGTCCTGTTAACCTCTTTTTCTCATTATAATAATGTTAGTTCCTTCTAGTGTTCAATAATCTCTGCTCATTTTTGTGTTTTAGTATTTCTGTCCACTTGCCTCCTCTAGTCACTAAGATCAGTCTCTTATGACAGAGGCTGGCTGGGCCACTAGGAGGACAGTACTGTGTGCTTCAGCTCCTGTTCTGGGAACAGGAGCTCCTTGTCCTCCCTGGAGCATTGCTCTGCCTCAGGGCCCACTTGCCCACACTCTGCTTTAGCCTATGGGCAGACACTTTTGCTGCCTGTTGCTTAGTACAGATCAGAGAGGGGAGTGGTGCTTGCTAGCCTAGCTCTCACCTTCGTTTCTCAATTAATAACTTGTCTGATGAATGCTTGAAGCTGTCTTTATATCTTGTGGCAACTGACTTTGTGTTCAAGGCTCCTCCTTCACTCTTCCCATCACAGCATTCTTTTGCTTATGTTTACTTCATGTTTTGCTTCACTTTAACAACTTTGTGTATTCAATCCTGTCTACTGTCTATCTTTCCAGGATCCTGTAACATTTCTAGTCTGTTGGTGGCATTCTTTTTTCCATGCTGTTTTGGATTTACTTTTTCTTTGAATTTTTTTTTTTTTTTTTTTGCTGTTTTATAGGATTTCAGATGGGAAGGAAAGTAGATATGTGTGTATAGACAACAATCTCAATCCAAGTGCTTTCTTTTAGTTTCTGTGTAATTAAAAATTCTGTTCTGTTTCTTCCAAATCATATGGAAAGGAGAAAATAACTTTATGCCTGTCTTGAAATATTGGAATGACAGAAAAGTATTGAGTCAGGGAGGAAGGAAGGAACTAATGTTCATTGAGAGTCTACTACTTATCAAGCCATGTCTTTAGTTTGCTGACAACTGAGTTCCAGATGGAAAATTTTGTTTAATATGGGTAAGTAATGAGAAAAATTACAAACCTCCACCCACACACCACTTTGGCATCTATGAAATGCTCTTTTCTACTGGTAATCAGAGAAACTTAATGTACTTTGTTACAAAGAAACCTAAGCATATCTTGCTCTTTCTACTCCCCAGAAGACAAACTGATTTACACAGGTTATCCAAAGCAGCACCATTCCCAGGGCTCTTGGCAACCATGGTCTAGAGTAACTATGAAAGCAATCAATAAAAAGCCAAATCTGATAAGATTATTTAAAATGTGAGATATAAAAAAGCTAATTAAGTTGGCCTCCAGACAAGGGAAATCTTGCTAAGAGTCATTTGTTTTACAGCAAATCGTATTTCAAATTTTAGAATAAAATAAGATATATGCATGTATCTTATTTATATTAAATTCTTGTGAGTGTGCACCTATTTTATTAACTTAATCAGATGATGAACTTAATCTTTCTGCTGTGAATTTTTAATTCTAACTATTTAACCTGAAGCAGTTGCCAAAATTTGAAATACGTTTCCGTGATATCTGCCAGTGAATGAGAGATATAGTAGATTTCTTCAAGTACAAGTAATACTTTGTAAGATTTGGAAGTACATTTTAAGGTACTTATTAATTATAAGAGTCTTCTATGATGCAACTCTGTGCACTTAATTTATACCCAGATCATTTCACACCAGAATCCACACCAGTAAGACCACAAAAAAAAGCTCTTGTCTCATGAAGAATCTTTGCTATTTATTTTAATAATTTTATCATATGTGGAACTTTTAGAAAACTGAGCTACTTTATTATATAAAAATATTTCATTGTATTTATCTTAAGTAGCTAACACAATATCTTTAGTTCAAAGTTTGTCTTCAGTCTATAAAGACATTCAAACTTGTTTGACTTTTCAAAAATATACTAATTTATCCCAGTCTAGAGGAAACCTTTTTAGGATTCTAAGACATAAGCTTCTCAATGAATTCTAGACAACCATAGCTCAAAAAATTCAAACAAAATTAGATGTATAAAAGTTTTTACCTCATCTAGTTCATGGTGGTAACTATGTCAGATTGAAACAAAATAACATTAAGTACAAAATGAGAACTTTTTTTTTACAGTTAAAATCCAAACTGGCATTCAGATGTATATGTTAGTGTAATAATTATACTTATTTTATATATCAGAAACCTGTACTCATCTTGTGAAATACATGCTTTATCCTTTAAAAATTGGAAAGTTACAAGATATTGAAGAAAAGGTATGCTTACCTTTCTTCATAAAAATTGACATCCTGTTTCTGATGTTACACAGGCATAAATAATCAAGTGGAGAAGTGTTCCTTTCCTCACACAGGCAATAGGTTGCACCCACTTTTATAGTCTCATATAATTATGTAAGGGGTGGTTCATTCTAAGAGTCAATATTATGCCTTTTTATTAGACTATATGGTGGGTGATCACTATGTATTCATAATTTGAACTTTGAAATTTGATTACTGTCTACTAGAAACAAATCACTTAATTTAATTATTGCTTATAAGTTTGTTTCACCTACCATGGCTCCTTTGTAATGCAAAACCACAAACCAAAGTCCAGTAGTTTCCCCTTATCCATGGGAGATACTTTCCAAGACCCCCCAGTGGATGCCTGAAACTCAGATAGTACTAAACGCTATGTATACTATCTTTTTCTTACAAATATGTACATATGATAAAATTTAATTTGCGAATTAGACACAGCAAGAAATTAACAACAAAAATAATAAAATGGAACAATTATCAACACATAGTATAAGAAAATTTGTGTGAATGTGTTCTTTCTTAAAATATCTTATTCATTGTACTCGCCTATGCTTGGGCTGCAGTTGACCACAGTAATTGAAACTGCAGAAAGTGAAATCTCAGAAAAAGGATGACTACTGTAGTTAACAGTAGTAGTCATAGAAGAATTACATAGCCTTGGTGGAAAACTAATTACCGTCCTCCTACTGAATAAAAGACAGATTATCAAGAAAAGTAAATGAAGAATTGCAGCATTGTCATTTACTCCTTAAAATCTGTTATGCACCAGTAAATTGAAGACAAAACTGAACTATCCAAGAGAACGTATCAAAATAAAATATGGCAAATTCCCATACCATCAGTATGTATCTGTGTCTTCTAGAGATATGACTCAGGGAAGCATAAACTTCTTAAGAAAGTAGTTAACAAATTATCTTGTGAAAACTATAATGTTTTATTAAATCAAGCTAACTTTAGACATCAGATATGACAACTGGATTGAAAATGCCTCATCTGATGCATTCTCTGTTTTCTGTCCCTAGAGCATTTTTATTCACTCTCAATTATTAATTCAGAAACATTTATTGAGTAGTAACTATATATGACGTGGTATATTAGGATCTCCCAAGAAACTACCAGGTTAATAAGAAAGAAAAGTAGGTATTTGCAGCAGAATGTGCAGAGTGTAATATGTACACTAACTGTGGCAATAATGGTTGGTATCTCAAATATGCAAAGTCCTAAACAGTATTCTTAATCAGCCAGAGACTTTTTTCAACTGGTGGTTCAGAGACCAAGCATTCTACCATAGAGTACGTCTTTCATCTTCAATTCATGGTTTTCTATGTTGTCATGTTCACTTGTATTGAACCATGAAAGGGAAAGAGCATAGAGCAGTTCTAGGGACATTGTTTTGGATCAGGTCTGTTGTGGCCATGTAGCTACAATAATTGCAAGGGAGGTTGGAAAGTGTAGTTCCTAGGAGGAAGAGGAAACACATTTGTCAATAGTCCTTTTCCAGGTGCTGTGGGACCACAGCTATGGATGAGGGTTGGTCAGGGAAGGCTCTCTGAAGAAAGGGATGTCCATATTGTATTGATTTTGGTGAGTTAGAACTAACCAGGATAATATTGGATTAGCAAAGAAAAACGAATGCAAGCAAGATCATTGTAGATGGAAGAGCACAGGATAATATTGGATTAGCAAAGAAAAACGAATGCGAGCAAGATCATTGTAGATGGAAGAGCATGTGCAGATCACGGACAGAAAAGAGGATGGTGAAATGAAATTGCAACATGGGTTCTCATGAAGGAATGGAAAGAAAGGAGAGCAAGAAGGACTATGGATGCCTTTGTAATGGGGATATCCACCTTGTAAGGTTTAAGACTCCAATTTTTTTTTTTTTTTTTTTTTTTTTTTTTTTTTTGAGATCACCCGATTAGCATTGTAGGTGGTGAAGTAAGCAGGCCAAGAGTAAGGTCAGTAAAATCAGTAAGGATGACGTCACGATCATAAACTCAGAAAGGTTGAAGTCTTGAACTGTGGCAGTTGAGATTAAGAGTTGGAAGGATTTATTAGACCTCTAGGACATAGACACTACTGAACTTGGAGGACAACTTGAGGGTGAGATGATTGAAAGTAGGGTCTAATGTGACTTCAAGATTTTTGACTTCCTGGGAAGAGCAGAGGGACAAAAAAGTGGGGTATGTTCAGTGGCAGGAAGAGAAAAAGACTCCGTCATCAAAAAAGCCAGGAGTAAACAGTTTTAAAATGGTAGAAAAATATAACTGCAAAAGTTGCAAAAAGGTGAAGAAAATGAGGACCAAAAGGTCTTTTGTCAGTGTGGGAATTATAATCTCACTGGTGACTTGCTAAATTCAACTTGAGAATTTAAATTGATTGATTAACAGTAAGCACTTCAACAACATTGGAAATGATAAAGCACCACAGTCGTGCCAGAAATTTGTTATAAGTAATACAACAGCTTACCCTAGTGTTTAAGTGATTTAGTTATAGAGGCAAAGGGCTTTAATATTAAATATTTATATTTAATATTTATCACAGTGATATTGGGCAAAGTTTAAAATGAATATGATTATGCTTTGAATATACAAAAATGGTCTTTAGTACAGAACTATTGGAATTCTAATGTTGATATTTATTCATGTGAAAGCTTCAATCTCTGTATAAATTCTTTGGGAACCTTGATGATGATAATGCATACGATTATTATTACTCAAAAGTCATACCGAGTATTGAAATTTGCAATAATGAATTTAAAATTTCAATATTAAAATGATAGAAAATTACACTATAAGCAAGAGTAATGACTTGTGGAACTCATGACAACAACATTTCAAAGTAGGATCAGTAAGGGTATTTTGAAGCCCGCTTATGTGATAATATAATTGAGTTATTATTTAGTAGCCAAAGCTAAACATTTTAATAGCAGACATTTCATATGCAGTAAAAAAATCTCTGAATGATAAAGAGCAGCTTGTAGACAATTAGCAAAACTGGACTTAGAATAGAAAATCGAGGTTGTATTAAGAAAATCTCTCAAAAATTAAAAGGTAATACTGAGTTGTCTGTGACAAATCTCAAAGAACAAAAAGTAATAGAGAAATAATGTATTGCATATTTAGTTATAGAATCTTTTATCCTATTAAAAACTAAAATAATATGCCTCTTATATTCTATTAGAAGTCAAAAGCTTCTAATGACCTGCATCTTTACTAAAATTACAATATGGTGGATTATTATGAAAAACAGTAGTAATCTGTCTTTTGTTTGGTTGTTTTGGTTTTATTTTTCTGCTGGCTCACCAGGCATGAGATAAATACAATGCTCCCATGTTATAAAATAAGACAAAACATAGACCAATACAGAGAACACTACAAAAATTGATCTATTTCCCCAATATGAAATCGGCAAACCATACCCAAATTACCTGGCTATCCACAGAAGACTCCACCAATGCTCTGCTAAATCAGACTTTTACAGGCCAGGAGAACAAGGGTCGTGCAATGATGTAACATTTGCAATAAGACGAAGTTTTAGCTCCCAACCTGCCACCTGAAAGTTTTATAACCTTAGGTTGGTCATTTTATTTCTCTGAATTTCGGATCCCTTATGCACAAAATGGAAATAATAAACTCACCTTTATTAGAGTTATGTTAGAAACAAAGTAGACAATGTATCAGAAAATCTCGTTATACTATAAAGTACTATATAGCATAATCATCTGGGGTTTACAAGTAGCATTACATAATGCTTATTTATTATGCTGATGATCCTTTTTCAATAATACAAGAAAGCATTAGGAGCACAATACACGATAGACCATTAATGAACCTTTCAGGTAGAGAAACAATATATCTTGGACTTTTCTAAAGCCAAACATGATTTATTATTGTGGTCTTAGGAATAAGATAAATCTTTGGGGAAATGGCTATAGAGTAACTTTTTAATTAAGTTGCAGTAATAACAGGAAAACTAATGCAGCTTATGCTTTCTCAGAACTCTACATCACCAAGATATTTACAGGAATTGGCAGACATTGTTCACATTTATTGAATGACCACAATAACCTATTTTATATGTATTACTTCATTTAGATACTTAACATTTGTTATCCCATTGAATTCTTACAGCAACTTATGAAGCTGCTCTTATATTTTTCCCATTTTACAGATGAGGAAGCTAAGGCATAAAGTGGTAAACTGACTTGCCCAAAAGATCCTTAGAAACAAAGATTCCATAAACGTCTTTGGTTGCCAGTTCTAACGTTAATAATCTCCAGGCATCAATCTCCAGGCCTCCCCTCCTCCTTTCATTACTCTACTCATGTAATTATTATTTTCATCTGCAAACATTGAGCCTTCATAGTCTGATTCATCCTGACTATGCTTAATAAATACGTCCACAAAAATTGCCTGCCCAAAAGGAAATACTTCCAGATAAATTTCCTGTGTTGTGGTTAAAGAAAATGAAACAAATTACGATCACTTGCTTGTTCATTAAGGTAAATATATCCAAATTAGAGTTAATATTGAATGAACTATTCATTGCCCCCATTGAGATATTCCAAGCACAGACCCCAGGTAAATAACCAGTTAATCTATAATAAAGACCAAATTGAGAGCCAGTGTGAGCACAGCTGCCCCATTCCCTTACAAATCTCTTCATTTTTGTTGAAAACATCAAAGGCAATATCTGTTTTCTTTTATATCTAATAAATTTAAAATAAGTCTCAGTGTACACATTGAAATAAAATATTAGAATGACCATATTGCCAAACATTAATCTCTTATTTTATTCAATTAAGATTTGCTGAAGACCCTCTGGGCTAGTTGATGGAAGTCTACAAAGGACTGGTTTCAGTCTTTTTAGACATAGTTTCTGGCCTGAAAACTTTCTCCTAGAGAGAAAAACACTTAGGTGTGCTTACAGGAGTCAAGAAATGGTGGCAAAGGCATTTTAGGGAGAAGAAACTGTGTGGATAAAGGTTTGATACCCTGAAAGAGTCATAGTTTTTCAGTAC